CTATCGCCGATGCAGTTGTTCCTATAAGCTCATCTGTCAAAGATCTAGGCATATACTTTGATACATCACTGTCAATGGAAACACAGGTGAACAACATCTGTAAGACTTGCTATTTCCATCTTAAGCTCCATCAGCAACATCCGTCAATATCTTATGGCTGAAGCCACCCATGCCTTAGTCCGAGCTTGTGATTTCAAGGCTCGACTACTGCAACAGCTTGTTGTTTGGGATCAGTCAGAGGCTATTGGATAAGTTACAGAAGGTGCAGAACACGGCCGCGATTATCAGTCGCATTCCCAAACATGGCCACATCACACCTTAAACAGTTGCACTGGCTCCCCATCAAGGCAAGAAGCGACTACAAAATCCTCTGCTTGACCTACATGGCCCGTCCACGGACTTGCTCCCCATATCTCTCTGACCTGCTTACTCCTTACTCAAACAAGCTGCCTTCGATCATCCAATCAGGAGTTTCTGTTCGTGCCAAACTTCAAGCTTAAAACTTTTGGAAACCGTACTTTTTCATATGCAGCCCCAACCTTGTGGAATTCACTCCCATACAATCTGAAAGTTTCTGATAGTATTGCCACATTCAAGTCAGGACTCAAAACATACCTGTTTTCAATGTATTATTAGGAACTCTATTTTGGACATGTACATATTGCTGTATAAATGTGGGAGACTCTTTTAATCTGTCATTGTTACGCCTTGAGCATATCTGCTGACGTGGAAAAGGCGAATGAAGAAATCTGCATTTTATTATTACAAACGCCATGCATTGTACGAGTGAAAAACAGGATAAAACACCCCCACCAATCCCTCTCGGCGTGAGGAGGGTAAGTGTAGACCACCATCCCACAAAGCTGATTAACACAGACTCCCAAATACTGAAGTCTCGGGAAGAGGGGAAACACTAAGCATACAAAAATCTCCCGAATAGTGAAAACGCAGCCGAACATGTGTTTGCTCACTATTACACTAACCTGGTCATGTGACATGCAGCTCGAAGAGAGGCATACCAAACAGTGACCTGTTGCGGGTTTGTACCCAATTCCGTCGCAAGACGGGTTAATAGCATATGACTGGTTAAAGCGTTCAAAACCGACCCCGCCCTCTTGCCTTTAAGTGAAGAGGACGTAAGGGACGTATGTACACCCAAACCCGACCCAACCCGAAAGGGTGGTAAGGCTAATATGATGTAGTGATATGAATCATATCGACATTGAACACAGAACCGATACCAATGACCAGTTACTAACTTGGTCAGGGTGGCAGGACACTCTCCACTGGAGAGAACGGAAAGACCGAACCGAGCACGATCCTTAGAATTCGTGTCAAGTCAGTAATGGCGAATGAAGGCGTTCTGCCGGCTCCAAAGAGCGACAGAACCGATCTCTTCATTGAGCAGTGCCACTGTGTATTGCCAACAAAGCGGCATCTGCCCTACCCAGTCTGCCTTCAACCCCTTAGCATTGGAACCGAACAATTACGGAAACAAGCCAACGAGATAAAGTCCGCTTGCTAGCAGACTCCCAGTCTTCACACCACCAAACAGAACACATGGGTACCCGTACGGATCCTTTTTGTTTGTTCGTTCGTTACAGTCACGGGTGAGCAATCGAAAGATTGGTCCCCAGTGTGGAAGGCTGGGTAAGGGCTGGAAGTTCGATATGAGCAGTCACGTGGAAAGCAATATCGAACTGAGAGTGGTAGGTATCCCGGAGGCGAATACGGACATGATCAGTATAAAATGCTGTCAGTGTCAGGTCAGTGGGTATCACATGGATGTACCCAACCCTTCTACCAGAGCTCACCACAAGTAAAGCCATCTTCCACGTCAACAAGTGAAGTGAGAGAGATGATATACTTGAAAAGTCAGGGCCAGACAGCCAATTGAGAATAATAGGCAATTTAAGGTGGGCTGGGTCGCCATTGAGGCATAGCTCTATTAACCTGTTCAGCTCTCAGATGAGAATGGGTCTGAAAATTCCGTTCTTAATGGCAACGAGGAAATAAATGGAGTCAACCCCACATTTTCCTGACCATTGGAAACCACCTCGCTGGTTGCCTTGCCCAGCAAAGACTGGATCTCGGCACAGAGTATTTTCGCTGTCTCCCGGGAAGCCGACACTGGTGTGTGTCGCTCCGACCAGGGTTTGTGGCAGAATACAGTAAACCCCTGCAGTCGGCAACATAACATTTGCCGGTGCCTGGGCCCCTGAGGAATTAACGAGAAGCTCGACAGACTTCCGTATTCCTCGAAACAGTCCCGGGCGCCATAGGCCCATAACCGCACTCATCATTTGGCTGGCACAGCTACAATGCAGTCCTTAGCCAGATGAGAGACTGACGGTAGAGAGTGAGGCCTTGTCCCGGATGCCTTGCTGAAGCAGGCCTCCCCCTGGGAGGCGAACTCCAACGGTTCCGGTATTTGACGTGGACAACACCTGAGGCAACACAGCCGCGATTCTATCTTGTACTTGCCTCAGGGACGAACCTACTCGGTGGTAAGTTCAAAGTAGCAAAATGAGCCGAAGCTCAAATCGACTTGTCCACTGTACGAGCCTGAACCCGGTTCTGAGGCACATGTGAGAAGCCTGACAAATCAAGGTTTCCCAAGCACTCAGACAGACCTCAGAGCGTCGAGGTGACTGACATACCCGGCACACTCGATAGCTTCTTGGTCAAGACGTCGATAGACATAAGGCCGAAACATGAACTACCGGCGCCGGGAATCTGCGCCCTACCAGTGCCGAAGCCCGGGTCGGTGCTACTCACTGTGTTCAGAGCATCCGCGGAGCCGAGGCTCGGCGGTTCTAGACCGAACCCCGATCCCGAGACACGTAGGAGTAGCCTGATAATGCAGGGTTCCCCTGGTGTACACGGGTAGACCTCGGTGCGTCGGGGTGATTGGTAGCTCAGTCACACTCAACGGCTCAGGTAGGAACTGCCGAAGCAGGCCGCCTTCCCTCATCCTCCTCCATGTCAACCTCGGCACAATCTCCGGCTGTCGTACTCTCATAATCAAGAGGACCGCCGAGGGTACCACAGAGGCCGAACACGAAGGGCTTACAAGGTCAAGAGGAGCCAGAAGTGTCGGGTCGCCCTGCCGGGTGGAACCCAGACCAGGGCGCCGGGGTGCCTGAGAGGAACCCACAGGTTTCCCGGGCAACCCCGACTGACCACTAGGCGCCGAGGCGACCGCCAGTCAGGGGCACACCATCACCTGAGCCGAAGCCAGGATCAAGCTGTCTGGGAGGAGGCGAGGGCGCAGCCAACCCACCCAGATGCGTCCGATCCACCCCCGATGACATGCGTGCTGAGCTCCTTGCGTGCTGAGCTCCAGACAGCGCCGTGTCAATCAGGGATTTCACAGACGACACCTGGACCATCGAGATAAACACGTTGTGAGCGGAGCTCCTGACGGAGCCCGGACATCGCATTATCAATCATCGACTTCACATTAGTCATCTGCTGCTGCATATGTTGCTGAAATAGTGAAGCAATTAAGTCAATATTTAAGGCAGCAACATTGTTTGCGGGGGAACGATAAAGGGATTTCCTTAGAAACCTTTCATCAAATATGATCCCCCGCCTGAAGCAGATGAGTGAAAAACATAAAATCTGCGTGCCTGAAAGAATGCGCGTGAGGCGCAGAAATCCAGACAAAAAACACAACCTCAGCCACTATGAGCCACGTTGTGTGTAAACGTATGAAATATGTATATGTGTAACATAACACAACATAATGTAACAGGAATAGTGACGCAAGGGCGTTTATTATGAACATCCTTGATCGTCGTGAGCGTCCTCGGCTAAACACTGGAGGCACGCTTTAAGACCATCCTGTGGCGGTAGTGTGCATGGCACAACGCACAGGGTTTAAACTGCAACAAACAGAACCACGCCAGTGTTACTAGCAGGAACTGTGAAGCAGCAAACACATAAACACAAGTAAATAGCAATAAATAAAACGCACGGGCGATATTTAAATGCTACAAGCTACAGCCATTTAAATACTAAACATACAATGCAAAGTAGAAAACAGGCTAGCCACACCTGCATGTACATACTAGTGAGTAAAGTTGAGTGATACGAAACGAACACTATCAAAATTACTCAACAACGACTTACCACAAATTCGCTGAAAAGAGAGAGAATTTAGGCAAGCCTGCCATATAATATTCAAACATAATATAGGAACTCCCTACTACAAGCTACCAAGAACATGTAGCAAGGAAACCACGATCGCGCGGTCCGCCATTTTGCCTGCCACAAGGCAGGAAAACAGAGAACCCACGGCAAAGTTACAACAAAAGATGAATGAGAATATCAACATATGAAGTCCATCTAACGCCCGCACGTAAAGAAAGGAACCATACATACAGATTGAGACTCTTTACACTCATCGTATCGGTAGGAAAGCAAACTCGAAACGAACACCACGCACGTCTATTCAACAGAACAACAGCATGAAAAGTGAGGTACGAGGTAGACGGGAGTTACCTGCTCTTAGCTGTAGGGGGTCCGGTGGGGCCCTGTTGGAATGCCACCCATTCATAATGAACCCTTCCACAAGTCTACATCATGTGCTGGGTGAGCCCTGTGCCTTCCACGATCCAGTCATTCTCTTCTTTGTGCAATATTGATTAGTAATCTAAGGTCAACTGGGCAGGTGTAAACCAAAGGGATGTACTGTTTCAGAGCTTGACCCTGGTGACTTACAAGTCTTTCAAGTTGTAGGAAGAGAGGACAGTATTGGATCTTCAAGAAGATCAAGAAGAAATGGGCTCGCTGACTTGATTGACACATGTCATCATATCCCAATTGCATAGATTGATGCCCAAGATGTTGATCACTGGATTGTGAGGTCCAGACTCAATTCTTATAGACCGCCACCATATAGCTGGAATATTGCTGAGTGCAGAGTTAAACAACAAATCAACCAACCAACCAATACCTACAAGATCAAAACAAAGAAGACACACAGAACAGCTTACCAGTTTTCTCTGACACGGCTGAAGACCAAGGTCATAGAAGACCAAATGAATGTTGGAGAATTTCCCCAGCAGTGTGGTGTGCAGCATGTGGAAGAGACCCTGTGATGCATGGAAAAACTCTGACGATGATCCTGTTACTATAACAACAGTTTCCAGGCTGACCTTCTGTAAGGGTGTGGCTTGAATATACTTGACCATGTCCTGCTTTAGCTTCTGCACACCCTCTGTGGGGTAGGACTCTGCCTTCTGTAGGTTGGCATCAGGGAGGCTGGAGAAGGTGTGGTGACACAGATTGTCCACACATGGCTCCTGTCCTGAAACATGTCAGTGTCATTTTAAGAACATTTTAGGTATCTGCATGTCCAAATGAACAAAAGTGAAAGTAAAATAAAATTCTTGAGAATTATCTGACTCTGAGTCTTATTCAAGTTTAGTTGTTATATGCTAAAATGAAGTAAAACATTGACACTTTCACAGTTCACAAGTTTTTTTAAATTAAAACAAGACTTGAGTTAGGTAAGTGGGGTAACTCTTGGAGTTGCTATTTGAATGATTATCAGAGCATATTTTTTATTCATTTCACTGATTTGGTTTATCTTACCATCAGAATATGCAAAAGAACAAAGACCACAGGAAAAAAATGCAAATTTAATTTTTCCATCTGAAACAATTTGTTGCTATGTGTTATGAAAGTACCTCGGGTCGTGTATCTGTGACACACTTGTGGGTTGAAGGAAGGGAAGGAAAATTTGCCCTTGATGCTTCGATGTTCTGAAAACAAAATTGCTTAAAGTGAAACTCATATTAAAGCTATGCTTTCAGATGGATATTTTAATAATATTATGATTCAGAAAATATTTAGTCATTTGGTTCCATATTAAATTATTATGATATTTTTAGGGTGAGACTTTGGACCACTACTGCCTTTGTTCCCAGTTGATGGGACAGAATGTCATCTACTCACCTGAGTATGTGCCTAGTATATGTTCTAGGTCCCATTTGTCTACTGCCGGGTATCTCAAGGACAGAACAGCTGAAAAACACAATCAAAAGCTATTATAATTAATCTGTAACCATGGTTACTAAGTGTTACGCTTACTAGTTAAACAATATATTTACTTATCACTTTTCATTCTCATTATTTCAAACAAATGCATTTGTTATACATGACTCATTTTTAGACTTAGTGATAATTTGTTTCTGTCAACTGTTTATGAATCATGAAATTTTTAGAGTAAAATTAATATTTTATACTTATCCTGACTCATGCTTATTGCTTGTCTTCTTCTTCTTGCGAACATAGTGGAACACGTGTATCTCCCAATTAGTACTCACCACGAGTTACCTCCCTTCCACAAGCGCGGGAACGAGGGCACCACCTCAACCCATGTGCCTCACTCTCTCCTGTTGTTTCGAGCCCGACACTTTATTTTTCCGAAGAAATCCAAAGTGTTAAGTGGGGAGGACGGGAGGGCTTACCCTCATGAGTCAGGATAAGTATAAAATATTAATTTTACTCTAAAAATTTCATATTTTTCCTTATCCTGACTCATGCTTATTGCTTGTAGAATCCGACGGAAAAGGAGGTGGGAATATATATACTTTGGATTTTACTAATTAGTGTTTTGAACTGTGATGATTGTAATAACCCTATGGGAACTTCATAAAGGCACTGAACTGATGAATTCCTGCTGCTTAACTTATCAGCTGCCCTATAAAGGTTATTACAATTTACTGAATATGATAAAAGTATATACAACATTAATGTAAGCTGAAGCTATTAATGTGATAGTATAGATTTCTGTGAGTTTATAGTGGATACTTTTATAAATGAACCAAAGTATTAAGCTTAAGATATGCATATATTTAAGCTATAATAGTATAGTACTGTGCTTAAGATATAATTATAACTTAAGCTGTATAATAGTAACCAACTCCTTAGAGTTTGTTAGCTAATACATTTATGAATATGACCATATGACTGAGCTTAAGGATTGATGAAACTTAAGCTGAACATACATATAATAGCAAACTCCTAGGAGTTGTAAGCTTATATATAGTATGATATAAAAACCATAGTACTGAGCTTAAGATAATAAATTAAACTTAAGCAAAATATATAGATAGCATGTAGCTATTAGTACTGTTATCAGATAAGTATAAAATCTGTAAGATAGACTTATCTTCTCCGTGGAACTCTCAACTGTTGGCGAGGACCATGGGACGAAATGGTGGATACCTGAGGCGTCCTCGGTGGTGATATCTCTCAGATAGTGGTTGGCAAACACCATATATCGGATCTCCAGAAACATCCCTCCATTATGGTATTCAACGAGCAATTCCCATGTAGAGCGAGTTGAGGCTAGCTCTAATTTCATGAGGATTAGAAGCTCTTGGAGGGTCGAGTCCTGCAGCCTTGTAGGCACGTAGTATGACAGTTCTGATCCAGTTAGAGATAGTAGCACGTGAGACTTCCCGTCTGCGTAGCTGTAGATATAGGGATAAATAATCTCTTGAATTTCCCTCTGCTCTGTTTGGATCGTTGGAGATATATTTTCAGTGCTCTTACTGGGCATAGTGATAGATCCATCGTATCATGCGGTCCAAGTATGGATGAGAGAGCTGGGGCGTGGAATAATCTGTCTGGTTGACCTGGCAGTTGGTTTTTCGCTATAAAATCCCAGCGGAGTTCCAGATGAGCGATGTTATGAATATCATCAAAGCGTGTTCTCTCGTAATCCAGTGCGTGAATCGCTGACATCCTGGCGGCCGTAGCTAGTGCTAACAGGAACAAGGTTTTGTGGGTCAGTGATTCAAACGATGTAGATAGCAATGGTTCATAAGCCTCACTAGTGAGGTGTTGGAGCACTATATTTAGATCCCAGGCTGGAGGCGTGAAACTTCGTTTCTGATCCTCCAATCGAACGCTTCGTAACAAAGCTTAGTAACTCTGGTGTTTTGTTAACTTGACACCCGTTCTCATAGTTATGACAGAACTTATAGTAGCAAGATAAGTGGACAAGGTTGAGCCTTTTAGATTCTTAGTTTGACGTAGATAACATAAGAAATCTGCCACTTGAGGATGTGTAGCATATCTGGCTGTAAATCCTTTCTTAGCAGCGTAATTGACAAAACTGTGCCATTTGTCATCGTATAAGTTACGAGTTGAGTTACGTAGTGCAAAGCGTGACGCTTTAGCCGCTCTGGCAGAATAACCTCTCTTATTCAGACATGCCTTGATACAATCCATACGTGAAGTTGGAATGCTTCTGGTGTTTCGTGCACTTGTTTGGTGTGTGGATGTATCAATAGATTGGCGCGTTGTGGGAGCTGAAGAATTGGTTTTCCGATTTCTTGAATGAGATCTGGAAACCAAGTTCTTGCTGGCCAGTAGGGCGCGACCAAAATCAGATGGAGGCTCTGCGTTTGACTGATTTTCTGTAAGACTTGTGGGATTAACGCTGGAGACGGGAAAGCGTACGCGTTGAGTCTCTCCCACGATATGCTTAGTGCGTCTGTTGCCCATGCTAGTGGGTCTGGAACTGGCGATACTCACGAATGTTGTCAGTTGCTTGTTGAATCGTGGCGAATAGGTCTATCAGAGGAGATCCTATTTCCATGATTATTTGATTGAATATCTCTGTGTGGAGCATCCATTCTGTCGGCGACGGTTGGTGTGGCCGAGAGAGAGCGTCTGCTAATACATTCTTTGCTCCTGGAATGTGGCAAGCTCTGACGTGTATGTTTAGATTGTCGATTAGATCGAACAGTGTGAAACATCAAGTCAGTAGGTTCTGTGACCTTGTTGAACCTTGTTTGTTCACATAAAACACCACTGTTGAATTGTCTGTGTGAATCATCAACTGAGCGTTCTGTGGTAGGTTGCTCCAGTGACTTATGGCGTTTATGACTGCTTGCATCTCTAGCAGATTTATGTGACATTTGCTCTCTTGATTGCTCCATAGGCCTGGCTGTCCTGCGGCAAGGTGGGCTCCCCAACCTTGTAGTAGACTTGGCGTCTATGTAGAGATGTGTGTTTTCGATTCGGCTCTACTAAGGAGGCGCTTCATGCTAAACATTCAATCTCTTGGTCCACAAGAGTAGATGTGGTTTGACATAATCTGGTAGACTGAATGGTAGAGGGTCCTCGAGATGATCATTGATGAGGACTTGTAACGGACGTAATTGAAGCCTGCCTCTGACTGTCAAGTCTTGAGCTGATGTGAGTAGTCCCAATAGGCTCTGCCACTGTCGTAGTGGTAACGGAGAGAGTAGGGCTTGAGGAATAAGTTGTTGTATCTTGATCCATCTGTCCTCTGGGACTACAATATGATTCTGAGCTGTTAGAAATCGTATACCTAGAAATTGCAGATCCTGCGTTGGTTCTAGGTCCGACTTGAGTAGATTTACTAACCATCCTAATTGAGTTAGTAGCTTGATTATAAAGTTCAGCTGTAGTCTGAGACGCTGTGGATCTGGATCCACTTGTATACCGTCGTCTAGGTAAAAAGCGCTGCGAAGACCTTGACGATGTAGGTATGAGACAATAGGCTTGGTCACTCTTGTGAATACCCAAGGGGCCGATGTGATTCCGAAGGGAAGAACTTTCCATTGGTAATGTTTCCCGTCTAGGATAAATCTTAGATATTTCCTTGAGTTGGGATGAATCGGAATGTGTAGATATGCGTCTTGCAAATCTATGCTGGCCATGTAATCTTTGGGACGAATTAAATGCCGAAGTTGCGGTAAGTGTATCATGCGAAACGTTGGTGGTTTGCATAGATATTTTCTGTTGAAGATGCTCATGTTGTATATGAGACGAAACTTCTCCTTGGAATTTTTGTTCGGCACTAGGAAAACTGGGGAGTAGAAACCTGGTACGATGTTTCGTTGATCCAGAACTTCTAAGGCCTGTTTGTTTAGCAGAGTAACTACTGTTTCTCTTAAGATAGGTAGTTGTGCCCGGTTGAACGTTGAACTGTGGAGGGTTGACTGTTAACGGAGGCTTGGCCTTGAGTTGTATTAGATATCCGTGCTGTAGGATGTTGGATACATATGGATCTTGTAGTATTCCCCAGTTTTCCCAGTGCAGCTGAAGGCGTCCACCCACTTGAGAAGGTTGTACTGGAACGGCTGGGGGTGGCAGACTCCAGTCGTTCCGAACCTGAATTTCATCATCTAAATCCACGGGCACCTCTGGATGAGCTGCCTCTAGCTGATCCTCCCCTAAATTTGCTATATGGGCGACGAAAAGAATCCTTGGGATCTTTAGCTGCAGCTAATTTCTTGTCCCGTGCTTTCTGTAGCCCCGAAAACTGCCCAAGTATCTCTGTGTTGACTGTTTAATGACGTTCGCTAAGGTATCCATGGATCTGATCATAAGTACCTCTCTCGAGTCTTTAGATACTTCTTTGGAGACCTTGTCTATGTTGCCACCAAACAGTAAGGGCGATGACCATGGAGCTGTGTATAGAGATTCTGTAAATTGCTTATCCCAAGAGCAGGAGGCTAGTAAGCCTTGCCGACGAGCCATGGTAGTAGTTTCAGTAAGTGCTGACAGGTGCTCTGTAAGAAATTGGTGGTCTCTTTTCTGCATGAGTAGAGCTGAGTAGATCATTCTATCTTCCTCCTCTGTAGAATTCTTGAACTTGGTGATGAGAGTTTCATTAGTAGTTCTAGATCTATTCAATCCAAAGAACATTCTCCTGGAGATGGTATCTAATTGGGCCAATTTGCGATCGTCTACTCTGTAACTTCTGGACTTGGCATCGCTGATTAATTTAAAGTTGTCATCAATATCCTGGGCCTTGAAAAAGGGGTCCATATTGTGTCCAGCAAATTTCTTGGCATTGAAGACCTGGAAATGTGTAGATTGGACTTTCGAAGATTTGGAACAGGCTGTATCCAGATTAGCTGGTACCGTTGCAATCGGGTCAATAGGAGGTAAGGTGATATTGTCTACATCATCATCCTTCATCTGGTATGTCTGAGTTGAATTCTTGTTCTTCGATGGGGAAGCAAGTTGTAACTCATTCACCATCCAGTATCTAATCTCAGCATCTGAGAAAATGATACCTTCTTCCTCTGACGTAGGGTCACATGTCGGAGTCCTAGATCTGTAGGAAGATCTATGAGAGGACTGTGGTGAACGGACTGACGAGTGGCTAGTGTAAGGAGACCTTGGAGGAGACATCCTCGGCGAACGCTGGGGACTTCGCGAAGCTCTTCTAGATCTTCTGGGCGAGGTAGATTTGGAGCCACTTAGCCTTCGCGACCTTCGCGAATGTATCGAGTCAGTGTCCGAATCGCCATATGAGCGCTTGCTTCGCGAACGACCTCTGTGTTCTACAGGGTGTGGGCTCGGCGAAGCGCTCCTTCTCCGCGATGTCCCTCGCAACTGGAGAGGCTCTAGCTCCTTCGCGGAGGCGGCCTGGGACTTCCTTTGCGAAGTGATCGCTACGGGCTGGGTTGCCCTTCGCGGAGGCGCGTATGTGGGCTCTGGGGCCCTACGCGAAGCCAAGGCGGGCTCTGGGTCGTCAGTCAACAGTTGACAGGGTATATTAGCTTCCGATCTATTAGCCATGACTGAAGATTGTTTGTGAGATTTATCTGCCTTCCGTCTCAAAATGGAACATAAATATTTATCAAAGGCAGAAATTGGTAAATTAATACATAATTTACAACGAGAAACAATAGAACATGGAGTAATGCAACTAGGGCATTTTAAATGTGGATCGGTAGCGGAATAACGTAGTTTACAACCTGTGCAGATTCTCATTAACGTAAACTGCTGAACAAACACGGCGAACCGTGAATAAAACAGCAGAAACACGACTAATAATCAATGCAAGTTGAATAAGGATACTAGTTACACCTCTATAACTGAATATAAGAGGTACTAAACTAAATATAAATAAAGGATATAGTGTGTCGGGAGACACAGGCGCTCTCACGTCCAGCTCACTGGGCGAAGAAGGAGAGAGTGAGGCACATGGGTTGAGGTGGCGCCCTCGTTCCCGAGCTTGTGGAAGGGAGGTAACTCGTGGTGAGTACTAATTAGTGATTTTTTATTGAAGGGAACTTCAATTGGGAGATACACGTGTTCCACTATGTTCGCAAGAAGAAGAAGACAAGCAATAAGCATGAGTCAGGATAAGGAGAAATAAGATATTTTAAGATACTTTTAGTCTAAAATGTCAACTGATTCTACAGATCGGTTGCTACAGTTACAAAGTTTCCCAGTGTTCTCCTCCCTGATCTTGTATGCTTCACATACAAAAGTGGCATACATCTACCAACAATCTTGTTTCTACTTCTCATCACTAGCCTACTTGATAAAAATAAAGATGAGGACGTTTGTAACCATTTACTGTGTCTTACTTACATGCAGGATGGAGGTTTTCCACATATTCTTTGTACACAATTTTCTCACCTTGTTGACCTAGAGAGAAGTAAGGAACAAAGTATGCATTTTTAAGAGTAGAAATATTATTTTATACTTTTCTTGACTCATACCAACTGCTTATCTCTTCATTCTCCTGAAATATAGTGGAGATAAGAAATTACTTTCAGTCAGCATTGGAAAAAATGAACATTTCTTTCATACAATGCATGCTTTGACAGATGCCAGATACTAAATTCTGAAGGGGTATATGCAGACAAATTTAATATCAATGACAATAATTTACACTGTGTGGTCCAGTGGATGCCCAAAGAATGTGACTGTCTGATATCACAAACAATACACTCGAGGCCACAGTCGTTTTACCAGCACATAAACCTTCACTCCCAATTACATATTTCTGTCACTTTCACCAGAACTAAATTTCCTCACCATGGTTAACAACATACAGCAACACAAGAATCAGCAATGCTGTGAAAATCCATCGCCATTTTCTAGGAACTGAAAAGAAAATAATTCTCTTGGCAAAACAGTAATACTGATATAAACAAAACACAAAACCCAGAAGATCCAAAGAAATTTTATTTTATTTTCTCTAAACTATCTTTGTGCATAAAGTGAACAAAGTGATGTCTTGTAAGCATGGTATGTCTGGTCTCAGATAACCTGCATATTACAATATAAACAAGATAAAGTAACAATGCTAGCATTAATCTGGCAACTGTTTAATCCAGAATATTTCCTGAGATTTCTGTAACAGTGTACATCTCTATTAGACAAGATGATGATGCTTACCTCGGCACCTCATTGTAACCACAGCAACTGTCCAGCCTTGCTCCTATCATGTGACCCTCATCCATCATGAAACATATCTCAAGCAAGTCTTCATCTGAAAGAAATATCAGAAAAGTGAACAGAGTGGTCAGGTAGCCACCAAGGTAACTGTAGCACCAATCCTAAACATGACACCAAAAGGAACACAAAGAACAGTTGTAAAACACTGTTAAGAGAGAGTTGCAGCTGGCAATCAATGACACTACTTCATGATGCCAGTAACAATGACTTGGACCCCTTTGCCAGGGATGCTTATAACATCTGATATGGTATGACTTGTTTACATGCAATCAGGAGTACTTACTCCTTATTTTTTCAATATAAGAGTACTGGAAAACCTTAAGAGTACATTTAGAGTACTGAATGGAATTAAATGGAGTATCAGTAATCTTGTGTTTCGTTTCATATATGCACCACAACATTGCTGCTCTTGTGTAAACAGGTCAATAAACAATACTTTTTCCGATAAATACGAGTGTAAATGATTCTAAGACCGTACATCATTGCTGTGGTGCGTATCTGCTACGTTTTTCAAAATATTTCCTACCGTATCGTGCATATTTTTTATCCGTACATACGCCGATATGGCCCTTATGTGGAGCCCTGATCTTGTGATATGCTATAGGGTGCTGTGGAATAAAAATTTACAAAAGATTCCGAGAAAAGGAAATTCTATTTTGGCATTATAATCTTTGGCACCAAATCCTTTTTAGTGATTAAGACGAGCTGAAACAAAAACTAAATCTTCTGATAACCATCATCATTTACCCTGAGGTTCTACTGTCACTGATTTGTTCTTGAGAGTAAGATTATACTTTTCACATAAATAGATTGGTTTTGGTTTGGTTGTTGCTTAGCGCCGCGACTCAGCAATATTCCAGCTATATGTAATTGAGTCTGGACCACACAATCCAGTGATCAACAGCATGAACATTGATCTACACAATTGGAATACTGATGTCATGTATCAACAAAGTCAGCTAGGCTGACCACCCGATCCCATTATTAAGCAGCTTACAACAAGCATGGGTTGCTGAAGACCAATTCTAACCCGGATCTTCAGGGGTTTCATAAATAAAACAGTCACCATGGACATAATCAAATTACAAAATCTAAAAAATCTCTTGATGTCTTCAGTAAGAGAAACATATTTTGCAAGTTTTCAGTCCTGAGAAAATGGTTAAGGGTATTTTATAAGTGCAAAGGCCAAATCAATGTTCAAATTAGAAAAACACAAACAACGAAACAAAACAATCACCAGAGCATATGAGTCAACTCTGTAAGAAACAGATGAAAGTACATAAATATCAAGTTTAAATGAGCAATGGCCATATTTGTAAAGCCATGTTGGTAATCTGAATTAATCCACAAGAATAAATAGTGAGTTCTTATTGTGAGCTATGATTATAGACAATGAGAAATATCAGACTTTCACACATGCCATGAAAAAATAACAACAGTAATACACAAAAATCAGGTCTTTATAACTTCTTTTGATTATTATACATAGACTCAAAAGCATTACAATATACCAGTGTATGGACTAATGATAATACTAATTATTCTGTGTGTGTATAAAGAAAACTTAACTATGTAGTCATGTAGCCCAACGGCTATCTTTTGTCTATGTTATAGTACAGGAGTTATGATCATCGTAGAGCTAACATAGCTTTGAGCCAGATTCATTAATGCTAAAAGTAACATTGATATTTTTCTGCCATTGTAATAATGGTATACTCATTATGATAATAATCTTATATTGTAAACATTTCTGCATCACTAATTTGTTCATTTAGTATCGATATTCATAAACATGGATTGATACAGTACTGACATAACAAATATAGAGTGGTGTTGGGTGTTAGGGAAAAATTCCACTTTCATATATTTTTTTCAACTTTCTGGTAGTGACAGCTTTTCTATCCATAAAGCTTCACAGCTTCAAGAGCTTCTTCCAGGAACAGTGTCGCTGAACATAGAAAATATTTATTGGACATGAAGAAAAGAAAACAAAGAAAGAGACAAAAAAACAGGCATCACACCTTACATGTAAAGCGTGTATGGGCAATGAGAGGGCAAAGCCAATAGGTCTGTCCAAAACTCAGATACCTCTTTCTAAACATAAAATCAATTCTAATTTCGTACATCACACAATTCTAGACCATAATGCAAGGTTTTGTTGGCCATGTATGGATCGTACAGTACAATGCTTTAATCACTAAGCTACCCCACCGCACCTGAAAAGAAACACTAAACACGATAAGCATACCTTTCTTTTCAACACTGGTCTTGCAGAAATGCCTCCTTACGATGTAAACACTAATTTAAATTTACCTTAGTGAAGTGAGCACAGTTTGTCAAGTCGGACAAGATACATATCTAAAGAACAACAAGAATTATCAATGTTGAAAATGTCCTGCTATAAAAACATTGTCATTATTTCATCAAGGAATATGTCACATTCTCCCACCTAGACCGTGAATAAAATATTTCTAAAGACAGCAGTTTGGTTATTATCACTGCGGTCCATGTTTAAGTAAGTTATTCAATGAGTAAATACTCCTTCACCCCCAAAAAAGAAAATACATCCATGTCAGTTATATGACAAACCCTGTAATATGCACTGCTGGTCTGCAATTTGTGCAGAACATAGGCCATATTAGGAAAGTGTTGCACTCTGGGAATCTATTAAACCCAAATAAATGAATCGTGAAAAGGCTTGCCTAACCATCAATCGATAAATGTTACTGAGAATGTTAATAAATTTGAACCAGTGTATGCTTTCTGAAAAGTTGACAAATTTGAACAATTGTCTGTAATGTAATTTGGGAAATCATGAAATATATTTAGCATTTATTCTTGCAAACATAATTTTGAAACGTATCTATTTTCAATACAAATTTACATGCATTGTTATCATGGTTATATTTCACAAAATACTGAGGAAGTACAAATCATGTTTGATGCTATATACACAAGCTTTGAATAACATTCGATTATCATTATTTGTTAACAGTTGTAACAAATGATATCTTCTTTGGAATTTGGGGCTGTATTTTGTGTTAGTTACATCCTTTCTGTATATTGACATCAATTCGTTCTTTACAAATACTTCCTGATATTGTTAGCATATACAGACAAATTACCACCATACATGTTGGAAATACTAGCCTATTTATCCAGGAACTCTTTCTGACACCGCTCTACAAGTTATCATGATTACACAATGCCCTTTATGATTTACAAGGTGGTCAAATGTAACATATGTTATATACTCATGGAAATGAATCAGGGAACACATGAAAGTACAAGTGTTCCTTTATTTATTTCCAGATTTTCACCCACAGTGCAACCCATACCTTGTGAAGAAACCTGGAAGGGAATAAAGGAACACTTGTACATTCATGTGTTCCCTTATTTGTTTCCATGAGTATATTTGGGATTACACCTTTTTAGTAAAGTACAAATTCTAGTACTTTATGGGTTGAGTCTCATCCGGGATTCCAAACCACACCCTCAGAGTCAGGCACCTAATCCCTAAAAAATAATGTATAGCCATTGTGACTTTTTGGTATGGCCATTTTGACTAGGGCTTGTGGCCATTTAGACCTTTTCTTGTGGCCATTTTGACTAGGGTCAGTGTGGCCATTTTTTGTGTGCACATATGGCTCATAAATTAATGTCTATAAATGTGCATTTCAAAAGAGATGCCAGAGTACTAGGACCAAAGCCTAGGACAGGTTAACAATTCGTTGGAACATCAACATCCTTACTAGGCCTAGTTCTTTGGTCCAACCAGATGGGCTCTGGTACAGCGGATTCAGGAGTGTCCAGACAGAGGAGAGAGAAGAAAAACATGTCAAAAGTGTCAAATGTGTGAAAAGATCATGTTTAGTTACAGAGGCTACAAATGCCTTAAACGAACCCTTTGTTTAGTCCGACAGACAGACATAGCCATGCATGCATGTGTCACTGTTCCTGGTGCTAGCGGTACACAGGTACAGTCTTTGGACTGTGGAATACACTGGAATCGGAAGACTTACCTTGTTATGTATGAAAATTGAGATTATTCATATGCACAAATGCAAAACGCAACCATCTCAATATGAATGACGGCAGAATCTACAGTTTCTCGCGACAATGCATTTCATGCAGCGTTAGGGATTAAATAACATGAAGAGATAAACATCTTCTCGATTTAGAACATCCAAGCTATTGTTAAAGGGAAGTAACTCTAAACTTATATACTTGCCGACCACACTCAAATTAAAACCAGCAATTTTAATCTTCTTTGAACGAAGCAAGCATCGGTTTTGTAAATAAGAAATGATATTTTAACATACAAATCTCATGTTTACACGTATATGTAAATTGTTGTTGTTATATTAATCATAAGTGTTTTACCTGCATATTTTTAATCTGTGTTCAACTATCTATTTTACAGTACATTTACCTGTGAGAAACGTTCTTTTATTTATTTTATTTATTCTGTATCCATACGTGTGCTCTGTGATGCTGTACAGAAAATTCCCATTGAGGGTAATACAGGTTTGTTGTTTTTTCTTCTTCTTCAATTTCTTCATGATCAATGAAAAATATGTCTTTTCGTGCATGGGTCTCTCACACATGACATACTCCTTGATTTCTTGTACCTCGTGAAGAAGTGGTTTTGCAGAATATCAGATTTAAAAAATTGGGAGCAAAACATTTGACACACAGAAACTGAAGTATTTCCTTTTCGCTCAGTGCAATGCATTAAATTAAGATTGTGCACTTAAGCTTAAGACAGTTGTAATTATATCACATCAATGATATTTGAAGAAGTATTGTCATGGAAAAGAAATATCCCAACACAAACCCGTTAGTCTTTGAAGGTTTTGATTCATTTTTGTTATCAAACACTGTCAATGAACAAAAATGCAAGAGCCGCGTATTTCATCTTTCATAATACTCTACAAATTCATGTGACTGCGTTTAGGCTAGGTGCAGAGAGCATCATCTTTGAATCAGATCTTTGTTTAGAAATACGTACATTGTCATATCTAGCAAGCAGACCTAGTGAAAATACTTGATTTAAACAGGATTAAAATTTCTCGAAACACATGTAATATACAATAAAGAATAATATATACAAAAGGAAAAAAGATCAGAAATAGGCTGCGTTATACCAGGGAGACTATACAACGTTGTAGATTATCCCTGGTTATACTTATATAAATGCTTCCCCTTTGTTCATATAATTATTATTGTATAGGCGTTCAGGTACATCGTGTGTTGTTATTTTCATAAATAGAACATAAGTAATAAATTTAAAGTTGCCACCAGATATTGTGACATTAACTACAGAAAAAGTTATTGTTTTCAGTACAGAAAGCTATCTGTGTTTACCGCAAGTTTTCACACCTGTTGTGTGCGCAATATAACCGTTTACCGGTATTTACCGGTTCAGACATGAAAACGATACTTATATTGCGATACGCTGATCAAAAAACCGGTATTTTCACTTGCATTCGGAAAACTTCGTAACACTCGGAAATCTTCGGATATGTCCTTGTTTCATTTGTGCCAAATATTATTCATATTTTTATTTTATCATGATTAAAAGTTGTTATTAAAGCTTAATCAAGCCTAGTGATTTTGTTGTGTTTTTGCTCTATAAATCAAGAATTAACTCGATTATAAGTAGTTTTTTGTTTAAAAATACTTCTGCAATATATTGCAATACATATCGCAATACATGCTTTCGCATCGCAATATAAAAATTCTCTGCAATACCCACCCCTACTGTTGTACCTCCAGGGTTACGTTTGTTGTTGTTCACCGGTAAGCAGCACCCAGCACACGCGGACTAGTTTTCTCACCCAACACAGACATCTCTTCAGAAATGGCAACCAAACCAGTGTGTATCGAAGACTTTAAGAAAATCGCCGAGGCAAAGCTGTCAACGTATGTCCGTGAATATTACAACAGTGGAGCGAATTATGAAGACTCCTACAGAGATAACACGGCTGCATTCGGGAGGTGATACAGTCTATTTATTACATAACTAAACCGGTCGTATATTGATTAAAGATGACAATTCATTTCATTGGTTACGTCGATACAAACATAGATTTGCATGTCTAAATATTAGAATTCATTGCATGATAGCACTGACAGTAAATTATTGACGTGTATACATGCGAAGGGTGGCGGTGTCCTGGCAAATTTACTCCCCGTGGTAATATGATCCATATCCAGGCGTTATTGAACGCTATCCTTTGAATGCTAAATGAAGACACACTTACGCGGCAAACTGAAGCAGCTCAGCCGGGGTTAGTTAATTCGTCATTTGTATGTTTCTATGTTTGTTTCTTGAATCCACTTTTATAGGCCTCTGGGTGTATCATCTATCTTTCAGTGGCAGTGTCTTATACGCTGTTCAAAGTGTCAATGAGAAGACGGATGGATTCCGACGTCTAAATTCCTTCAGGGCAACGTTTCAGATGCTAGTTACTTTTTCAAACCAGTAACAAGTAACAAGAAGCAGCATCAGATACTAGAACTGACTCACTATAATTACCATGCCACAACGCTATTGTAAGGGAAACGGGGGTGTTATTTTCACGTATGGAAAACACATTATTATTAACTCTTAGATTCTTAATGTTTTTATTTTGTTTTTTTTGTTCATAATTAACTGTCACTTGATATCAGTACATGCTCGAATAGTCCAAATATTCGATGCACAATTTTTAAGAAAACGTTCCCAAAATACATAGTTTAGTCATACAATTAACCTTAACTTCAGTGACATGATTTACAGGTCACCATACAGATATCGTCATCGGGTACATGCGTCGAAGGGAAATAGCTCAGAATTATACGTTGACGAGGGAATACGTTGAGTCTAAATTTATTTAGTTGGCTATACAATACATGATAAACAAGTACACAAGACAGCAATGGGCTGGGTTGCTGGCTCTGATATAAATGAGGCGAGCGGAGTTCCAGCTCAACCTCAGGGCATTTCCTCCAAGCGGCATTATCCTGCTCGCGTTCGTCCCTGTAAAAGCAGCTGGAATACCGGACTGCCTGACAGTATACATGTGACCATATATATAGTTATAGACAACAATGGGCAGGTAAAGAAACAATACCTTGGCCTTTGACTAGTTGATGTGATGACAGACACGGCCAAGGGGATGACCGATTAAGGTTATAAATGTCATACACAGTAATGAGTGAAAGTGACGAAGTGGTACGGGTTGGCCGACAAGTCAGTGTACAGTGTGGTGGCGATGAAGATTAAGTATGGAGATCAGCGTCATACAAATAATTGCAACTGCGTCTCACATGTCTTGGCTACATAGCTTTTGGTCTTTGGAAATATTTGGACATGGCTGTCTTGAATTAGTCGATATGACAACTTAATCACTTAGTTTCAATGATACTGTTTACAGGTATATCAAGCCATCATGCAGATATAACCACTTAATTTCAATGATACTGTTTACAGGTACACCAAGCCATCATACAGATATAACCACTTAATTTCATTGATACTGTTTACAGATATATCAGACCATCATATAGATATAACCACTTAATTTTAACGTTACTGTTTACAGGAACATTGTATATCAAGCCATCATATAGATATAACCACTTAATTTTAACGTTACTGTTTACAGGTATATCAAGCCATCATAGAAATATAACAACTTAATTTCATTGATACTGTTTACAGATATATCAGACCATCATAAAGATATAACCACTTAATTTTAACGTTACTGTTTACAGGAACATTGTATATCAAGCCATCATAGAAATATAACCACTTAATTTTAACGTTACTGTTTACAGGTATATCAAGCCATCATAGAAATATAACCACTTAATTTCATTGATACTGTTTACAGATATATCAGACCATCATATAGATATAATCACTTAATTTTAACGTTACTGTTTACAGGAACATTGTATATCAAGCCATCATAGAAATATAACCACTTAATTTCATTGATACTGTTTACATATATATCAGACCATCATATAGATATGACCACTTAATTTTAACGATACTGTTTACAGGTACATGTATATCAAGCTCTCATACAGATATAACAATGTAATTTCAATAATACTGTTTACAGGTTCATCCAGCCATCATACAGATATAACCACTTAATTTCAATGATACTGTTTACAGATATATCAGACCATCATATAGATATAACCACTTAATTTTAACGTTACTGTTTACAGGTATATCAAGCCATCATATAGATATAACCACTTAATTTTAACGATACTGTTTACAGGTTCATCCAGCCATCATACAGATATAACAATGTAATTTCAATGATACTGTTTACAGGTTCATCCAGCCACCATACAGATATAACCACTTAATTTTAACGATACTGTTTACAGGTATATCAAGCTCTCATACAGATATTACAATGTAATTTCAATGATACTGTTTACAGGTTCATCCAGCCACCATACAGATATAACCACTTAATTTCAATGATACTGTTTACAGATATATCAAGCCACCATACAGATATAACCACGTAATTTCAATGACACTGTTTACAGGTATATCAAGCCACCATACAGATAAAACCACGTAATTTCAATGACACTGTTTACAGGTATATCAAGCCATCATACAGATATAACCACTTAATTTTAATGATACTGTTTACAGGTACAAGATTCGACCAAAGTATATGCGAGACGTGTCCAATCGGTCAATGGCGACCACCATTCTGGGCCACAGAGTAGACTGTCCCATCGGCGTGTCCTCGGTTGCAATGTGTCGTCTGGCCCACCCGGATGGAGAGGTGGCTGTTGCCCGCGGTATGTACCCAGCAGGACATGAAGTAGGTTATGCTGTAGGTGATGCTGTTGTCTGGTTGTGTTAGCGCAAGAGATGCGTGTTACGGCATGTTTTGCAGTAAGGAGAAACAAGGCTGATAGGAGTCAATAGAAAGCTTGCGGGTATGTGTAGATACACCCGTTACAGAAGTAAAATACACTACATCGTGTTGTTATTTCATCAAATAGAGGATATTTGTCTGATCTTGCCGAGTGACCTGGTAAAGTTGGTATTTTCATGAGTGGACCACCCACAGGGAAAATGTCAACCATATTATATATAGGTTTGTACATCATTCAACATGTATGACGATGGCCTGTTTTACCGTGCGTGAATTGACATTGTGACATCGATCTAAGCTTGAGGGATACGACGTTCATCAAGCAAGTCAGCCTGTCTCCCAGTTGTGAACAGTACCAGTAAATGTATGAAGCGTACTGAACAAAGCATCATAACTGAAGAGTGAGTGAGTGAGTTTAGTTTTACGCCGCACTCAGCAGTAATCCAGCTATATGGTGGCGGTCTGAAAATAATCGAGTCGGTACCAGACAATCCAGTGATCAACAGCATGTGCACCGATCTGCGCAATTGGAAACCGATGACATGTGTCACCAAGCCAGCGAGCCTGACCACCCGATTCCGTTAGTCGCCTCTTACGAAAAGCTTGGGTTACTGAAGATCAATTCTAACCTGGATCTTCACGGGTCATAGCTGTTGCACGTAAAATATAATTTAGAGTGTAAAGCAACGTAATTTACTTTGCTACCTAGATTTATAATATTGACGATGTCTTAGCTACAATTATTTGTTTGTGTATAGTAATTACCCTCTGTTAATTTCGGTCTGATCTTAAGTGATCGGGTAAATAGTATTTTTATGTCCCTAAGACTTGCATCACTTTGGGCTGACCTCCCACATGGACCTATGATATCTGTTACTGATATTTTTGAAAGCTTCGATAAACTGTACTTTCTCATACTCATGAACATCATGTCTGCAGCTTGTGCCCGGCTAGGCCGATGTTTCACACTCTCCACATCTGCCACTACCAGCCTGGAGGAGATTGGGGAGAAGGTTCCAGACTGTCTGCGATGGTTCCAGATCCACATCCTCACAGACCGAAATATGCTGACTCAGCTTGTGCGGAAAGCAGAACGTTCTGGCTACACGGCCCTAGCGCTAACTGTTGACTGCCACGTGCATGGACGCCGCCATGCCGAGATGAGGAACCACTTCACGTTGCCAGCTCCTTACAAGTATGTTCAATATGTAATACGTGTTTGTTGTCTGACGTCGCACCCAAACATATTTCAGCTATATCATGGTGGTTTGCATCTGGAGCAGAACATCCAGTGATTGAGATCATGAGTATCGATCCACGAGGCTTACGATAACATGCATCACCCAAGCCATTGTGCCTACCCACCGGAACCTGTTAGTGGTTAGGTACGATATACTTTGGTAGCTGAAGACCAATTCCAACCTGGATCTTAGGGGATCGAAATGTTTACGTGTTTCAACAGTTAAGTACAGAGAGCCATTTACATGTACAACACAAAACGTGCATAATTCTGTTAGGTGGGAAGTAAAGACACTCCTCATGATTTTGTTTTCTTGGCCTGAAGGAATTCACATCTCTTTTCAGGCTGGGTGTGTTAGAGGGATTGAAGTCGCGTGACGGAATGACTGATGAGGAGAGGGAGGGAGGTTGGAGCAAGTTCGTCAACAACCTCTTCTCCTCCTCCGCAACATGGGAGGACCTGCGATGGCTGAAGACAATCACCAGACTCCCGGTGGTGGCCAAGGGTATTGTAACAGGTATTGGAAACATACATCTAGGCGGGTATAGAATTACGAAGGAATGATTATGAAGAGTTTTAATAAAGATGTTGCGGACGATGCAGTATACACTTTGGTACCGTATCGCTATGTTATTGAGGAATGCTCCTCGCGATTCGGAGGAGTAAATATCAACTGTTACTGAATTACCTTGCCCACGATATTGTCTGAACATAACCATGCATGTGTCCAGGTGAGGGCGCCCGGGAAGCTATTGAGGCCGGTGCCGATGCTGTGTGGGTGTCTAACCACGGGGGTCGGGAGCTGGACTGTGTCCCCGCCACGGTGAGAAGAGGGTTGGAGTTTTATTATGTCGGACCCCTGCCTAGTCAGTAAACAATAGCAGATTTGGTTTTCATTAATGTGTGATAAGACTCCTATTCCGTTTAGGGACAGCAAGTGACAGATGAAGTGCTGAGATGCTGAGCTATGTCACTTCCGTGTTCACAATTAATCAGGTGTTGTAGTTGGACCAGGCGACAAAATGGATCAGGTGGTCAGGCTCCATGACATGGTTGAAAGGATGCCCTCGTGCCCTGACGGCGTTGATTGTTGCCAATGAGATCGATCACTGGTTTGTGTGGTCCAGACTCGCGTATTAATAGACAACAGCCATATAGCTGGAATATTTCATGTATTAAACAACCAACTAAACCAACGAAAGAGACAGGGGACTCTTTCAAGAAAACGTTTACTTATGTTGTCAGAAACAATTGAGTAAGGTTTAGTGACTTTATCCAGACAGTCAGATCTACCCCCACAGATACAGCACACAGATTGACAAATGGCGCTTCTGTGAATGTAGGGCTGTATTTATCGTTATTCCACTGTAGATGGACGCCTTGCGAGAGGTAGTGGAGGCTGTTGGTGACAGGTGCGAGGTGTACCTGGACGGGGGAGTCAGGAGTGGGCTGGACGCTCTCAAAGCCATCGCCATGGGGGCACGGGCCGTCTTCGTGGGGAGGCCGATCCTCTGGGGTCTAGCTCATGCGGTAGGCCACAACAGAGTGTTTGATTGAGAATGACTTAACAGTCATGGCGTCAATACGAAAGTCAGACACATGTAATACTGATCTCGAGTTTGTATCCACGCTGTATGGTTTTTTACATTTTTGTACAAAACGTTAGTTTTTGTTTGAAATGTTTACTGGTCAGAACTAAAGGAAACAATGAATTAAGCTGACGTACTAAAGACAGTACACACCTGGTGGAGGATTAAACCGATGTTGACCTGTTCATGACATGCCCCTTATCGATATGCCCCAGTGCTGACAACATCCAGTCCTCTCATCACTGTGTTCCTGCTGATGCAGTGACCCAACGCTGTTGATGCTGATGACGTCAATGTTAGCATCCAGTTGCTCTGATAGAGAATATGTGGGCGATGGTCACTCTCGGTCTTCCAGTTCTAGGACTGTCAGATGTCTGTCCAGTCTGGTTGACGCGTCTTATGATGGCCTGCCTTGTACAGCTGATCCTTCTGACAATATGTCCGTTCTAACGCCCCAGTCTGCGAAATTCTTCGATCGTTCTCGCTTCTCTGCTGATAATTTTAGCATTTTGATGCGTGCCTTTAAACGATATACAGCTAACAATCTTAGTCGACTGCATTTAATACTGTTGGCGCATAAGATACACATGTGAGTGAACACAATCATGATTTTCATGATATCTTATGAACAACTCTGTGAAGGATATCTGAGAAATAATCCCCAATACACCGGGTGTGTACTTTCTGTTGTACGTGAGTTTACAAGACGGTGTTGTTGTCCCTTAGGGAGAAGAAGGAGCAGAGAAGGTGCTGCAGATCCTGGGCGATGAGCTCAACACGGGCATGGCTCTAGCAGGTCAGTCGATGGTCTCTTTGACTGTTATGTCAAGCTCCAGTACTGTTATTCACATAATTAAACATCACAATTAATCACTGAAACATTCGTAAGTTCACTTTTGTATGACTGAACTTGCCTTCAGCGGATCACGTTAGCTGACTTGGTTGATGAATGCCATCGTATCCCAATGGCGCACAGCGATTGCACTGCATGTACAGTGCAAGATTTTGGACCAGACACAATACTGTACAGAGCCCCATTACATAGCTGAACTATTGCTTCATGCTTTGTTAAACAGCAAACAAAAACAATTCAAAGAAATAAAAGTGTGGTATATATCATTATGTGTATTTTTTATAACTATCTGAACCTCATAAAAGTTTTTTCCTAAGTATTCTAGGCACTCTATTTTTATTTACTTCCTTTTGAAGGAGATCGTGTGTTATGTTATTAATTTATCACTTCGGCCTTCTCTCAACATCAAACTGACACAAGCCTGATATATCTAAAGTCCGCCATATAGCTGGAATATTGCTGCGAGCAGCGTTAAACAGCAAAACACTGATAAACATGTATCTGAAATATTGTTTAAGGCAGCGTAAATCCAGTCTCCCTCACTCGCTCAATATTTCAGGGGCCTCTAAGGTAAGCGAGATCTCTCGAGACATGGTGGTTCACAAATCCTACTACAGCTCCAAGCTCTGAGTGATGACATATGGCATACTACACCCTTTAGTTTGTGACAGGGATGTGCGGGAAGAACATCATCACCCACACCACTGGCTTGTTTCTGACGATTCCTCTTCCACAGAAGCGTGTTAAACTCTTACAGATCTTACTGATTTTAGTGACGGGTTTTGTTTATTTGTGTAAATATGTTGAGCAAAGTGATATCAAAACGGCTGCAGCTTGAGTGTTCCACGGATGATGATTCCGTGTTGCAGTTAGTCCTTTCACGGCATAGACCGTGGCTCACAAAAATCAGTGGATTGTCAGGTCTGGACACGATGACTTGTAGACGACAATAGGCGTAACAAACCTTTGAGTCACAAAATTATGTATTCCATGTGTTATAGTTTTTGCATCTACATTGAGTTTGTAGGTGGACTACATGAATGGCTGTAGGCGCTGTTCGCCTTTCTCACATGAAGATCTCTTCCGGTTGTATATTCAAGTAAATCGCGATGATATAAGTAGTATTACGGGTTTGATAAATGTTCATGATTGACTGTGAAGAATATACATTGTAACTGTGTTCGAAATAAAGAAACGCTGAATGGGTCGGCTTTATTTTTCATTGGTAGTAAACTTGACTGAAATGTTGAATGGGGATTTTATGTTTTGAACGTCCGAAAGTATTTGCCTTAAAGCATGCAGATAGTGTCATCTTTGGCCACTTTTGGCAATTGTCCAACAGTATAACTGCTGGGGACACCAGAAATGAGCTTCGAACCCGTGTGGAGAATCAAAACTGGATCTCTCTCGGGACTAGTGGACGTGATAACCACATTATTTGTTTTCTTGTATATCATTAGAGAAAACTAACCCAGAGATGTACACAACATTGATACTGATATATACGTGTGGGAACAGCTGTCGACAAGGCCTGCAGATGCTAACACCAGATGTTCGTCTGTATATTGTTTTATAAGTAACAATGGAACACGGTGTAGGCAATGTAGAGAGGTTATCACGCGAGTGGGATTGTTGTTATCTTTGTATTTACATCACCTTTCGCGGCACCATGATACAAGTAAACATTTCTTACATGTTTCAAATCGAAATGTTCAGAATTGTTAAAGGATGTCAATAATATCGTGCATAAAACTATAGAATATACCCTGCGTTTATTTAAGACCCCGCGTCTATTGCTTTCAGATAGGTGAGGTGAATGGGGATTACGTCGCACTTAACAATATTTCGCTCATATGACGACGTGCATGTGTGTGTATGTGCGGCTGCTTGTACTAGCCCAGACTTAAGCTGGTTTTATAGTGCTAGCTCACTGAGATACCATGCTGCAGTTAAGGATGAATACCCCACTCAGACACATTATACTGACTCCGAGCCGACCAGTCCCTGTTGTACCCTGCCGAGCGCCAGGCAGGGATCAACAAGTACATCTTAACATCTTTTGGCATGACGCGTCCGGGGATCGAACCCGCGACCTTCCGCTCTCTGGGCGGACGCTCTAACCACTACACCACGGAGGCGGTCTGTTTTCAGATAACCTGTATCCTCACGTTTAATCGAGGGAGTACAGTAAACTGAATAAACAGCGAATGAATGTAACATATGCATGCCTTGTTGTCTCTGCTGAAGCATGGCCGTGATTATTCATATGTAGGTCTTACAACGATAAACATGCTATTGTGTCACATGCAAGTCTGTGCAGTTCGGGACAGACTGAGCAGTTCGAGGTACACCGGTGCCTTTCCAATACATGCTATATTTGTAGTTCGTCTGTTCTAAAAGCAAATGGCGAGCGAGCTAGTCTGTGTCAAAGATTATCAGAAAGCAGCGGAAACGAAGTTTTCGAGTTACACCAGAGCATACTTCAACCACGGAGCTAACAATGAAGACACGTACAGAGATAATACCGAGTCCTTCAAGAGGTAGGCGTGTTGTGCATGACCTTTGTCATATACTACTGTATTATCATGTCTAAACATCAGGCATGTATTCCTCCAGATAGATTTCATGGTAAAACTTGTAAAGATGTTAGCGCAATACAGTATACACCTTCCTACGCATTAACCCTTCATTCAATCTCCCATTATGAACTTTAACATTTGTAGTCACATGTCAGCCTTGAAAGCCTGTTTTGAATACCGTAGCAACTCTAAACGTCGCTATTCCCTGAGTAAATGTAGGCACTTTTAAAAAAAGAAAATAGTTATAAGTAGATTATAAATGAATACATCCCATAAGACTGAGCACGTCAGACATAAACTACGATAATTTTTTAAGAAATAAACAAGACGACAACGACAGTCCTGCATCACTCGAAGCAGTTCATAAATATTGATATCACATGAAAGAAACTGAATGTAACGTGGAGCCAGATGCTGTCCTATATATGCATGAACAATGTATAACAGGACGATTCGGTTACAGACACCGAAATTAATTAGTACCCCATATATACTGACGAATATAAACTCTTCCAAGCAAGAAACGTACAGGCCAAAAATAAGGAAATGTATTCAACGTATTTTTAAAAGTGTACATAAGTCGATTTACTTTGAACGAAGATGAAGGAAATTTGACACACGGATGAACATATGTATTGTTGTCATTGACAGCATCAATTCAGTTCACTCACTGCACATGTGTGGACATAGGGGGACGTTTAGGTCAGTACCTGGTGACCCACTACTTGCAGTCGTCACTGCTCAACACCGCCTTGCACAAGTCGTCCGATATTTGCTTGGGGAAATCTTTGCAACAGCAGACTGGGACTCCCCTGCTTCCAAACGTCCAATGGCGATATTTCGGTCAGTAACATTCAATCTTGGCATTTTTTGTATCTTCGTTTACGTCGGAAATGTAATGAAATGATGAATTTGGTTTGGCCTTATATAGTCGATGTCTCTACTCATGTTTCCAGCACATTGCACGTGCATTACATGGAAAACCTTTTCTGCATGCACTTTTCATGTATCGTTTTTAATTTTTATGAGAAATTTTTATGCAATACACAACAACCACGACATGATTAACGGGATTCAAACGTACGAATTGTCTAAATGACGATTGCTGTCAAAATATATCGAAATGAACTGCTGAAAACGCCAGTGCGTTTCTTTTTTTGAAGAGTGTATGTTATATTTATTGCATTGTATACTAGGCAGCAAAAGAAACGTCAGTTTGGAAATCTCCTGCGCAGAAACGTATAACTGTAAGTTCATTCAATGTGGTGATTGTATATTTTTGACAACATCTCCAACTTTACCTGAGCAAAGACATTCCTTCCCAAACTCAGAATGGAACCAAGGAAATGGTCTCAAAAACGCAACTTGATCTCGGAGATGGTACGGTGTTCTCCATGTTTTTCATGCAACTCATGCTGTACGTGCTGTTCACAAGGACCAGCCCTATAAAATCCACCCCCAAACCTGGTTGAAACATTAACATTACAACGTCGGCAGGATGCCGCGACTCACGACAGCACAGAGGAACCAGGCGCTAGGAAGCCTTGAAGCTGGCCACACTGCACACGCCGTTGCCAATCACTTCTAGGTCAACGTTCGGACCATCTACAGGCTGCAGCAACGTTTCCGGGCCACCAACACCACAAATGATCACCCCGGTACTGGCAGACCAAGGGTTACCACAAAATGACAAGACCGCCATGTTGTTCGACAGCATGTAAAGAATCCCTTCATGCAGGCATCCGAAACAGCACGCAAGACAGTGGGAACACACGGAAGACCAATCAGTACTGATACAGTACGCCGACGTCTTAACAGCGGGAACCTCCATTGCCGTAGACCTTACCGTGGACCTATCCTCACCCCTCGTCATCGGCGTGAACGTCTACAGTTTGCCCTACAACACCCAAACTGGCGATACAGGCAATGGAGAACTGTTCTGTTCACAGATGAGAGTCGGTACTGCGTATCAACTGCAGATGGCAGAACAAGAATATGGCGACGATGTGGCCAGCGTTACTCAGACCAATGTGTTATGGAAAGATACTCATGGGGAGGTGCAATGGTATGGGGTGGAATAGGCCTGAACCAGAAAGTGGGTCCTGTGGTGTTCCAGAACCTTGGTCCAGAGAGAGAAGGCGGCATCACAGCGGTGCGCTACATCGACCAAACTCTCAGACCCCACATCATACCACATTTCGCCCGTCACCGAAACAACATTTTCCAGCTTGATAACGCCCGGGCCCATACTGCCAGAGCTACACGGGACTTCCTACAGCAGAACGGTGTCAACATTATGCAGTGGCCAGCCCTTAGTCCTGATTTAAACCCAATTAAACATCTTTGGGATGAAATTCAGAGGAGACTGAATAATGTCATACCATGGCCGAACACAGCCGATTTATTGCGCCAGTCTTTTCTCAGAGTCAATCGATTGGTGCACTCCATGCATAGACGCTGTGCTGCAGTTATTGCCGCTCGTGGCTGTCACACTAGATACTGAAGTCAAGAGTGGACAGCAAATGTTCACGTAATGTCTTGAAATTGTGCTGAGTTATTCATTGATGTGTCAAGATACTATACACAAAAACATTTTTGGATCCGCTTATTATGTCCTTTTCTGTAATGATTTGATTACAGTGCCTGTCTAATTTTGAATTCGTACAGACGTTTATTTTGCTGCTGAATGTACATTTATACTGGACTTGTAACTGGAATATTTACCAGAATCGTGGCCAACTGGTAATATATTAATATTTACACCCTTTTCTAGCCAAAGGGTAACTCTTCTTATCCCCTTACATATCGGCTGATTTTCTGTATTCAGGTATCCGATATGGCGTCACGGGAAACATACAAAAGAAACCTAGCTGTTGGTTTAAAATACAGATCACAGTTTATGGTGAACTTTTTAGATCATATTCACCTCATGAATTATCCACGTTTAATATGCGATAAGTTATTGTAAGTTATTGGTAAGTTTTCTAAATGATATAATTGCATCCTCTGAACAGTATTTTTCTATTCCCTAGTATCTTGGCTACATTATGTAAAATATAATCTTTGTAATTCGTATATTTGTATATTCTTCACTTAATATATTTGTAAACCTTCATATACATTCAAAACCTTGGACATTCACAAACGTTTAATTGACGGTAAAAATACAGTTTCTATAATTTTGGACAAATGTTGTGAAAAATTCACCAAAAAATGTGCATTATATAGTCATAATGGACTTGCCTTCTTCTGAAATCTTACTACTTCTGTCAGATGACACCTATGTTTTGTTTTACAATAAGCAGTCACAGACTCTGGAATTTGACTAAACCTCAAACGGGAGGAGAGAGTGTGGACCTTAGGGTATTTCACAATTGACTAGAAGCGAATTTTGTATGTTTAAATGCCTATTCTTTAACTAAACTTTTTACTGTACATGGACAACATGGTAGAAACCATCAATTGTTATATAACACAATAGAAACAAGTTAGTAAAGAACAATAATATGACTCTCAAACAGTACATTGCTATCTTGCTGTGCATGTTGTAGATTGGAATATTTGTTACACACATAGTGTCAATGCTATATTTAAATACTATATTTCTTGTACTACATGCACTTGTTAG